TTGCAATGGGAAAATTATCCCCTCTACTACACCTCCAGGCTTGTCCTTAGGCCCATCAGCCACAGCTATTTAATACTGAAAACCAAACAACAAAGCCGTTGTGAATTGAGCTGTTTTATACTGGTTGGATTTGAAGGGAAGGATTTTCTCTTGGCAATTCCAATCGGAGATACTTTCCATTTGCTGTAAATAGTCATTTTAGACTCCCTTCCTTTCTCCATTTCATTTCAGAGCTGTGTCAGCTAGCTTAGACATGGACCCTTAACTAGCAGACTCCCAGCAGTTCCCAGCCTCAATGACTGACTTTAATGACTTTACACAACAGGATTTTTGTAAAGTTAGAATCATAGAATTATAGAACCATTTGAGTTGGAAGGGACACTTAAAGGCCATCTTGTTCAACTCCCTTGCAATGAAAAGAGACACCTACAGCTCAATCAGGTGCTCAGAGAATCAACCAGCCTCACCTCGAATGTCTCTGGGGATGGAGCATCCACTGCTCTCTGACAACCTGTTCCAGTGTCTCACCACCATTATTGTAAAAAACTTTCACCTTATATTCAATCTAAATCTCATCTCTTTTTGTTTGAAACTGTTTCCCCTTCTCCTATCACAGCAGACCCTGCTAAAGACTCTGTCCTCTGCTTTCTCATAGCCCCCATTTAGATGCTGAAAAACTACTATCATATATCTCCCCAGAGCCTTCTTTTCTCTAGGCTTTCCAGCCTGAAAGTTGCTCTGAAGCTCAGCAACCATCATTTTAATTTCTGTTTTGTTGTGTCGATTTCCTGCTGCAGTTGTTTGGATGCATTTTATTTCTGGGTTCCTGGAAAGAGTGAGAAAGTGTGTAAGGATAGTCAAGCTGGCAATCTTTCTGCCACTGCAGAACATTCATCATACAACAGGAAAAACAAAAGTGAACTCATGAACTACTAATCTTTATGTTGTCAGCAAATTGTGACTTAAGAATTTGTGAATTGACTCCTTGACATCTTTTAGGCGCATGCACAAGCATTTATGGAAGAGCAGGAATAGAAAAATGATAATTGCTTCATTACATACATACACAGATCACCTTTTTTGTTTGAAGTCTTAACGTGAGCAACTGTAGTGGTGAAAACTAAAGGTACGTTCAGCTCAACACTTCATTTTTTTGTACTGTAACCTGGTAGAAGGATGTGCTCAAGCATTTGGCAGGCAGCTTCAGAGAGCACCCTGCTAACATCTAACAGTCTGAGATCTCTGGCTGGAGGTATGTATAACCTGTATGATAAAGAGCCCTCTTTGGATTTTTCCTTCATGACTTCACACAATCCTTGAAGAATCCCTGTTAAATTGGGTAATAAATATGGACGCCTCCTCTAATATTGATTGTCCATGTTGCTTTTCTCTCATTTTTTAAAGCTGTACTCCATTTTTACACAGTTCCATAACACAAAAATCTCATTCCAGACTGATGAGTTTGGGGCATAACATTCTGTATGTAAAGCTAGAACTGATTTTTCCCCTTCAGGTAATCACCTTAAGTTGTACCACCTTAGGTTTATCTATTTAAAATTCCATCTGCCATTTCCAGAGCTGTCATGACCTCTTTGCACTATCTTTGCAATAATTTCTCCACTATATATAGTCTCCCTTTTTACACATACGTTTTTAGATTTCTACAGGCAAAATACCACAGGCCCAATTTAGTCCCCTGTAGGACTCACTGGTGTCCTGCCACTGTGGAGAACACTGATGATTTAAGAGCTTTTGATGAGGGACTGTGTTGATTCACATCAACTCTTTTTGGTACATAGATCCATAGATTAATGTACATCCTTTACATAAACTCTGTGCTCTTCTACTTCATTATCTCTTTGCTAACGATTTGATTTGAAGGAAATCTTTTGGTGTAGGGCCATAAGGAAGCCTGCTGGTATAGGATCCTTCCCAAGTGTCCCCACCATGAAAACAGATGTTAATAAAAAAAGGAAGATTTTTCTATTAAAGTATGAGGATCTCTTAATTAAAGATCTCAGGTCTGATTTGCCATACTTATTTCACACCAAGACTGGTAAAACATTACCTTACATGTTTTAAATAAAGCTTGAACAAGTCCAACACTTGTAAAACCACGGTGCCTGGCCATTCCTGTTTTTCTCCACAGCCACCTAAAATTCTTTGTTTTAGTATTTAATTTTCCTGCAGAGATCACCCATTTTGCCTTGCTTTGTACTGGAAACATAGCACTGTAATTCAAGCAATTTAGATGAAGTTAATTCCAATTTATGTCCTGTGAAGACTGAGTAAATCGATGCATGTAAAATGATGCACAGAATTTGAATGAAACCTTTGAATTTGACAGATTTTCTCCATCCTAAAAATTGGACTGCAGTCGAACTGAAAAACTGTGAATGTGTGTGGTTAAATGCTCAGTGGAAGTCACTGTGGTTTGCAGAACCACTGCTAGAGCTATTTCAGGGTCAGATAACATGGCACGTCTTTGTACAAATTGCAAATACCAATACTGAACATAATACGATCAAATCAAGGAATGTCACTGCATGATATAAAATTTACAAATAGCCTTTTGCTATATTTCAAGCAGCCTCAGATGATCACAGAATCACAGAATCACCCGGGTTGGAAGGGACCCCAAGGATCATGTAGTTCCAACCCCCCTGCCTAGCAGGGCCACCAAACATACACATTCAGATCAGGTTGCCCAGGACCCCGTCCAACCTGGTCTTAAACACGTCCAAGGACGGGGCATCCACAACCTCCCTGGGCAGCCCGTTCCAGGGCCTAACCACTCTCCTAGTAAAGAACTTCCCCCTAACATCCAACCTAAATCTTCCCTCCTTCAACTTAAAACCATTTCCCCTAGTCCTGCTGTTATCAGCCCTTTTGAAGAGTTTACTCCCCTCCTGGGTGTAGGTTCCCTTCAGGTATTGATAGGCTGCAATGAGGTCACCCCGCAGCCTTCTCTTCTCCAGGCTGAACAAGCCCAACTCCCTCAGCCTGTCCTCATAGGGGAGGTGCTCCAGCCCCCTGATCATCTTAGTCGCCCTCCTCTGGACCCTTTCCAAAATCTCAATGTCTTTCTTGTACTGAGGGCTCCACACCTGGACACAGTACTCCAGATGGGGCCTCACAAGAGCCGAGTAGAGAGGGACAATCACCTCCCTGTCCCTGCTGGCCACCCCTCTCCTGATGGAGCCCAGGATCCCATTTGCCTTTCGAGCTGCCAGAGCGCACTGCTGGCTCATGTTCAGTCTCTCGTCCATCAGGACCCCCAGGTCCTGTACTGTATCACACTGTAAATGTGAAAGCCAAATATTCTCTTTTCCAAATATCTTCTTTGCTTTTAGGGCTTGGAGTGTCAGATGGGTAAGGTGGATTTGTTCTATTTCAAGGATCAGTGCAAAGTGTTGTCAGAACAGGTAAATGTGGCAGTGAGTTTTCCAATTAATATGAGTAATAATCGTATCTTGGAGCCTGTGTCCAGTAGATTAGCATTACAGAGACAAATGAGTGGTAATGTGCCAGGGATTTACCAGGCACATTTCACTCTATGGTGCCTCACAGGTTTATAACAAAAATAGTGTTTACCTCTGTTAGATAACTTCTGGAAAAAAAAAAAAAAAAAAAGATGTCTTTGTATGCTCTCTTTTACACATTTTAAAGCTTGATGAATCATTAGGACTAATCTAGGTTTGAAGGAGACTTTTTATTACCAGCCTTACTAGTCTGATGTATGTTGCAGTTGTAAACAAGAGCATGTGTGCCATAAGATCAGGCTGGAGGAATACATTCTTTTGGGATTACCATGGAAAAAATCACGTAGCAGTAAAGTCCAATTTGAGTTCTTGTTGTAATACTCTCTATGAGAAAGGAAATATTACCAATAGATGGCACTGTGATTCTATGACTCAGGTGTTATTTATGTTTGCAAAGTGTCGTAATGCTATTTGTATATGATGCTTATCAATCTTAATCTCACTGTGTGACATTTTGGGGAAATTTATATAATTGGTTTATTACTATTACGCTGTTTCTGAGACTCAACATTTTAAGCTATATGTATTTGTCCAAAAAATGCATCCTTTGTCATCAGGAGTGCTATTTTAGAAAAAAAAAAAGAATGATTGCAATGGCTCATTGTGGACTGCAGACTACTACAGAGATGGAATTAAATTTCACAACATGTTTTTTGTCTTTGCCAGTTCAGCGAGTGCTTTAACATGACCTTCACTTTCAGCAGATATTATACTATGTTCATATATGGGGTGATTAAACCCAACTAAAATTCCAGGCTGGATGTGGCTCTAAGCAGCCTGGTGTAGTAGTTGGCAACCCTGCACATAGCAGGGAGGTTGAAACTTGATGATCATTGTGGTCCTTTTCAACCCAGGCCATACTATGATTTTATGGAAATTACTATTTCAGACAAACCTCCAGTTTATAAAACAACTGATGGAATTTGAATATTTTAATCTGCTTTATGAGCAGTGGGATCTGGCAAAACAATAAAGCTTTAGAACACCGTTTTACATTAGCATTTACAAAATACAGCAAACATTTTTCTCTATGTATTTACATAAGCAAAGATACAAGTATTCAAAATAGAATGCATCTCACCATTTGCCAGTAATTACATAAGTACAGTGCATGATCAGCTGGATGGGATCGATACTTAGGATGCTTTACCCTGAAGTGTATAAAGTATGCACACCAGCTTAGGAGATACATGGTGAGCTTCATGTCTTTGGGCATTTCTCAGATGCAGTCTCAGCAGTAATAAAATGTAGAACTGCTCGAAAAATTGTCAGTTAAAGCATTTTTCAGATGCAGCAGTTCTGTTAGATGTGGATGTGACAGACTGACTCGTCATGCTTTTCTTGTATGGCAGGGGAAGGCCCTGACCTCTGATCTAGTCAGTGTGAATGTCTCTTTTCTTTTCTTTTCTTTTCTTTTCTTTTCTTTTCTTTTCTTTTCTTTTCTTCTTCTTTTTTTTTTTTTTCCTGGAAATTTTCACAATTTCCATTCTGGTCTGATGCATAATGAAAACACTTTTTTTTTACAAGATGGAGTTGTTGCTCTGAAGCTGGTCATATCAAACAGTTGTGTTCGTCCCAAGCCTGTCAACAAATTCTGGTTGAAAATGGCTGAACTTTGAGATCTGGCAGCAGTATCATGACTTATCATTGCCATCTCCTGATTAACAGCCTCCTGCAGAACTGGCACGGTGGGTGCTACAAATTCAGACTTGACTCTGTCATCATCCCTAAGGCAAACCACAGAGAAAAAATCTATTAAAATTTTGGTGCGAAGTGGCAGAATCGGTCCTTCCAAAACTGTCAGATATCTTCATAAGGAGCTGGAGATTGTGGTTTTCATTTGCTGCACATTCCTGGCTTAGAGAGGTTTCTTGGGCAGAAGCTGCTGCTCTCTCAATAAAGCCATCTATCTGAGTGCTAGCAGTGTTATAATCTCTGGCATCAGATATCCCCGCTTCTAACCAAAAATAAATGTTATGTTGCCTCCAGCTGTTAATTAAAGAAAAACTGTCAAGTCTCTTAGGCCCCAAACACAGGTTTTGTTTTAATAAGTGGGAAAGGATTTCATGTTCAGAGTTCTAATGAAACATCAAGCAAGTAATTGAAACCCTTTCTGTTTGCATTGAAACATTCCCTGTCAGTATTTGCAACCTGAGCAATTTCACATTGTGAAAGAGGAACAGAAGGTGAAAGGAAAGAGAGACGGCAGGCTGATTTACACTGCCATGTGGGTGAAATGCAGATGGTAAGCAGAGTGCATCGGCAGTGGATGTGTAATGTTCAGCAGCAGCTTATTAAGAGCAGCTGAGTAGGGGAGACTGTGCTGAGCAGCAACAGGAGATCTGGAAGAACTGAGCTGTGGAAAAGTGCAGGGTGCCCGTATACATTTTATGGTACACAGGTCAGCTCTGCTCCCTGACACAGATGGTCAATAGGACAAGGGCTCTCTGTCCCTTACCCTCATTTCTCTTGAAAGGGCTTGAAAGAAATGCAACAAAATTGTACTAAAGGTAGCATTTCCCTCCACTTTTACTAGCACCTGTGTTTCCTTTCCCCTCCTTCTCGGGGTATTTTGATCAGTATTCCTCATTTGAAGGCAATCTGGTTTAGTGCCAGATCCAGAGTTCCCTACTCACAGGACTTAGGTTTTATTGCTCCCTACCTTTACCCTGGAGTTCTCAAGGGTGAATTCTCAAAACCATCTTCCATTTGCAGAGAGGAGATGTCTGGGCACCAGGAGGTTCTGAACACTGTGTTCTGTGGGGTACCCTGGAGTGATGCTGGCTGGATAGTGTAATAAGAGCTGGTGGTTGGCCTTGGCTCAAACCTGCTGATTTAGGGTCTGTATCAAACTCCTTAACAAATACTGTTAAGTGGGTTAACTTAACCCACTGTTCCCACCTGATTCGTAGCTGTCCTTGTGCTCAGCTATGTTTTGCAGATTCCCCATGAAATCCCTTCTCTGCCTGTGTGGAGCTGTGAGTTTGCACTCCTCTTGTTGTGCTATGAAGGAATTGGGAGGGTATAGAGAGGGAGAAACAGTGAGCTGATTTTTCCTTTTGCTAAAGCTCTTTTGCTTTGATTCTGGTGTCCAAATGTTTGCATCAGTCATCTTGGTGAGCAGAATATATGGTGTACCAGTTGATATGTCATGCGATCCAAAGGTCCCAGTTTTTGGGTGGTAACCATTAATGGCCACATGCCCATGAATGACATGCTGTGACCTATCCCATCCTATCCATATTCTATGGAGGAAACTGTCCCCAAACCCCATCAGATTTAGTTAACTTACTGGTAACAGGTAGAAGAATAATAAAAGTGGCTGCTTGGAAATCAGCCGAACAACCACTCAAGGTCTAAGTCTTCTTTTACCACAGAATTCAATGTTTTAAATTGAAGGCCTTCCTTTTCTGAGCCAAACCCTGCCGGATGAATAAGATTCGTTTATCTCCCCTTCTTTACCCTAGTGGATATTTAATTCTTCTATGGAAACTGATCAGCTTCAAGAGAAAGATTTGTTAAATGATGAAGGCATTGGAGTTTGGCTTCTGGATAGGTAGTACTATTTTTACAGATTGGACAGGATCTGAAACTGGAATGCATCCTACTTATGACCGTAAAATTCATGTAATGAATCAAATGCTTGGACTGAAGTTTTGATGCAACGTTTGTGCTTCTGCTCTCCAGCACAGTCCCACTACCTTTAATTAAAATGTCCACGATGCCTGAAAGTCGTCACACAACATTATTCCAGAAAATGTATTTGATGTTCTTTATGTAATGCGTTCTGCCCTTGGAGCTGTGCGGGTGAAATATGGTGCTGTTGATAAGTCCTGGTATTTTAAAGTGGGCCCAATTTGCCCAAACGTGTTTCATTAAGGCTGAGTCCTAGTAGTGCAAGCTACCTATCGTTCCTGAGCAATCTACCATAACAGCAAAACAGCGAAACCAGGGAAAAAAACAAGTAGAAGGTTTTGAATAATTCTGACTCTATGAGCACAAAAAAGAAATCCAGAAGAACACCTTCATAATGGCCTTTTTAACCAAAGAGAAATGGTGAGAGAGAATCTGCTGAAGCCTTTCACTAAAGGATTTTCTCATGCAAAACTTTCACTGACATTATTTAAATCAAGCTCTGCTGGAATCAATCAGAGGCATGGAATCATTCTTGAAATTACTTAGCAGTACTGTGCTTGATTTTCCACTCTTCTCTCACTTCACTTCCCTGTCAACAGCAGTGGGAAGGAGCAGAGAATCAAGTCCAATAATGACTTTTGAAAAAATTGCTTTCAAGTTTTATGTTAGAACAGATGAATTTTTTAGAATGGAAATAAAGTGCAAGATGTGAAATAGAAGATTAAGAATGGTGATAGAAACAAGGGATCATTCAAGTATAATTTACTTCTGAAGACTGCAAATTTGAACTCAGAACAAGTGGCGGAAATGTCCATTAACATTTCAGAATGGTCACTTGGAAGAAAAAAATAGCCATAAAAACAGTTACCAAAATTTCTATATAATTCATCTATACAGGTTTTAATAGATTTTCTTTAATGCTTTAAAACATATTTTAAATATATATTAGTAAATTAACCATCATTTTATTTAAAATTTCATAAAGTGCTCATTCAGTTAATGATAAGAAAATCCCACTGCAGGAAGATGAACTAGCTGGAGCCTACCCTGCAAGGAAATCAAAGGACAGCTTAGCTTTCATTTGCAAAGAGAGGAGAAATGCGTAGGTTTCTTTGCAGCCCATAATTATAATACCAGAAATTGCATTTTTTTTTTTCTTTAAGAAATATATCCCTTATATTATTAAAAAAATAATTTTAATAAAGCCTGTGCTTAAAACAGCCAAAGTACTGTATGAAAAAAAATTGCACATTTAATACCATTCCACCCTGCTTTTCATCAACAGGATAACATGAGGCGTATGTGATGTTACTGGAGGGTCTCTCAGACATGGCTGATTTTCTTGCACTCTCAGAGCATCTCACCATGAGATGAAATTCTCAGTGTATGCTTGGGGTTGTCATGGCAGCTGCCAACAGCTGGTAGAGTCACACGCCGCTGACCTTTTCGTTCCCTGGACTGATGCTTCCCTTTGAGGTACCATCCATGTGGCGTATTCCGATCTTGACCATCGAATAATCCTTGGGCATCAATTTTGCCTCTTTTTTCAAACTCTTCATTTGAGCCAGGTGGAGCTGGCTAGAATTATACGCAAGCGCTGGGATAGTATTCACCAAAATCAGCTGGAAAGGTTTCTTCTCCTCCTTGTAGCGACACTGAATGTAACGAGAGAAAGCTGAGCGGTAGGTCTTATTGAACAACGTGTACACGAGTGGGTTGACGGCTGAAGAAAGGTACCCAATCCAAACAAATATGTTAAGTAGCCCATCAATGACTTCTTCACTGCACGACTCCTTACAGATTACAGCCATCACATTGGTGATGAAAAACGGGCACCACATCACAACAAACAGAAAAAAGACAATGCCAAGGACCTTGGAAGCCTTCTGCTCATTGCTGATGGATTGCATGGTTCTCCTCCCAGAGGTCCCCATGTCCCTGTTCAAAGAGCGCTGGAAGAGTTTCTCTGAAGAAAGGGAGCTCTGAGGGAGGAAACTAAAAGAAGCAAACTTGGTCTTTGGGCCAACGTCATTCACGCACAGCATGGCTTCTTTCTGCAGTGACTTGATAGTTAAAAAATAAGTGACCACCATGATGGTTAGAGGGATGAAGAAGGCCGCAAAGGAGCCTACTAGCACAAAATTCTCATCTGCAAGAAGGCAGTGGCCTTTCTTAAACACTTTGGAGTCATCTTGTAGTCCAAAGACAGGGATAGGCATGGAGATACCTGAAGGTGGGTTAGAGAAAGGGAAGGTTAAACACAGAAACAAAAAAATACCATTTTCCAATCTTTAAGAAAAATTAAACAAAACAACCTTAACTGTGCACAGATTATTTCTTAGAGTAATAGTGATAATATTAAAGAAATAGTAGTTACAGAGCGTAAATGATTGCTAGCAGGTAGAACCATGATTGACAGATGTCCCAAGGCAAACTCATTTTAAACAGGGGCAGGGAAAACTTTGTATTTTAAGTTTTGGTAGCAGCACGATACAACTCCCATCCTTGGGCCACTTTTAATGGGGCCATGCTAAGAAAGGATGCAGTGTGAAATGTTGATCTTGTGGATTCTGAATCTGGTGGTTTGTGCATTCGAGGACCCCAGCAAAGAAGAGCAGGTGAAAAGCAGTAATGGCATTACACAGGATTCTGCAGTTACTCTAATCTCCATTCCCTCTCCCATACACCTAAACTCATCCACTAGTAGGATACGTCTCTTCCACCAGACTGTCACATAACACCTGGTGGCAACAAAAGCATAAATTCTTATTCTTTGGTCTTGTCCCCTTGCAAAAATCTCCACGCTTGACCTTTGGTCCTACTGCCTTGGCAAAGGCTTCTCTCAGCTGTGATCAAGATGGTATCCTGTCTTTCTTTTCCAGGGTCAGAGTTAAGAGTTGTCTTATCTCGGACTGTTTTATTGTTATTATTATTATTATTATTATTTTTGAATGAGGATTAAAAGTGTCCTTAGTACTGTAAAATGCTGATTTTAGGAGGAAAGATATATATATATATCTAGCAGGTCTGAATGTAATCATCCGCTGGGTTATTTTCTTCCCTCCCTGTAATCTCCATACAGTTGACAGTCTAAATGCTAAAAAACTTTCCATGGCAACAGCCAGAGGAAAGATGGGGACAAATTAAGCACTGAGAGACATGGATATGAGACAGCCTGAGAAGCAGTGCACCCTGCAGAGTGTCAGGATCCCTCTTGGGTACTGCCAGCCATCTACCTCAGGCTGCCCTCTGAAAACACAGCCCCAGGGGCATCGAAAGCAGCATGAACCTCATCTTTCCCTGGAGTTTTTGCTGTGTTCTTGCTCTGTAAGGAACAGCAAAGCCAGGTGATGAAGTCCTTTCTCCTCACTCAAGTCCACTCAAACATTTCCTTGGGGACTTCTGCATATGCTGCTAGTGCCCATCTGAAATTGAACAGCTGCTGTTTGTTGTGCATCTGTTTTGTGGTTGTGTTTTTCTTTCCTTCCCTCCCCCCAGACGGATGCTGTCTCTTCAAGAGAGGCAATATTCAGCCAGCAAAAGGATGATGTGACATGAAGACAGCAAAAGTGAAGTTGTGATCGTACAGCCCTGCTTGGACAAAAGCAGCTGGGAGTCCAAATCCTGTGGAAAGTCAGTGTCATTCAGGAGCCCCTCTGCATCTTCATGAGAAACCCTGGGTTTTTGGCTTTTAGGGAAAAAAATGAATTAAATATTTTGTGATCTGACTGACATGACAGCATGATACTGTGCCCTCCTTTGTCCCTTATGCGTCCAAGAATGTCCTTTCTGTTTCCCAGATGAGTCCTGACATTCATCTTCACACCACCAGCTCTTAAATGGCACCTGCCTTCTACCTCCCTTCCTCTTCTTCTTCCAACCCCAGTGCACAAACTGAGAGTCCTGTGAAAGCATGAGCTGTCTCTTCATTTCATGCATTAACAGTGCCAACAGATCTCCAATCCTGCAGGAAGGCTCTGCAGTTCAGGCACAACACAAAACAATAATTATAGTAATAATATTAAGCTATTGTTCTCTTCAAATGTTCCGTTCTTCTGGGGCTTCTGTAAGGCTCACTCTTTTTCTAAGCAGTGTAGCTTATTTTATCTGCACAGTTTTGCACTGAGTCATGGCAGTGCCTTTGGCCATTTTACAGGAGTACCCTCCTTATCTGCCCAGGGCAGAAACCAACGAAGAGCCTGCGGTATTGCTTTTTCTATTTCTGTTTCAAGGCTGCACAAGCCTACATGCTTGAACTTGAGCTTTGAGAAGGCAACATGTGAGATGCAAACTTGCGCTCCCAGGGCGAGGAAAGCTTCAGCAGCTCTGGGAAGCATCTTGCTTAGAAAAGCTGAAGTCTCAAAATCACAGAAACACAGAATTGTAGCAGTTAGAAGGAACCTCTGGAGATCATCAAGTCCAACACCCCTGCTAAAGCGGGTTCCCTACATTAGTTGCCCTTTGGCTGATGGCACCACGGGAGAGGTCACCTGCAGGTGCCACACTGCCCAAATAGTTGAAGGTGATGAACACCTCTCAGGCAAGCTGCAAATCCCCCATTTATTTTATGGGAGGAGATGAAGGAATACTGAAAGCACCATGTTCCTAGCAGTACATCTCAGCTGTGTGGAAATATAATGCTACTCAGAGCAATACCACAGGTTTTCCTTCCATTTCTGCCAAACACAGATAACAGCAGGGCTGGTTTTTTTTTTTTTTTTTTTTTTTTTTACAGTTCATTCAAGGACCTAGTGTGAGCTGCAGAGATAAAATAAGCAATGATATTGGCAGAGTAAAAAGATGCCTTTCATTACTACGAACCTTATGGTTCAGCTGAATCAAGAGTCATGGGAGAAGAGTCAGCAGCACTAGAAAGTGGAATATTTTAGTGTAATTGAAAGTTTTTTCAAGGAAAAGGCCAAAGTCAGTTACAACTCCTCACCCAAAACACTAGGGCAGCAACTCTCCATCTGCTTTGTTTTGCTGTGAGCATGTTCTGAAGAGCTAGAATCTCACATCCAGATTTCTGGCTTAAAAATGCCACTGATTGGAAATGAGCTTCAGCTTGTAGCTGGAGTTTTCATGTCTCCTTGTGATTCCTTCAGGTGCAAAAGAGATGTTCACAGCAGAGCTGTAGCAGTTGCTGATAGCCTTACAGCCCTACAGCCACAGGTAGTTGGCCACTGTGAAATCTGAAAATACCAGAGACACCACAACTTGGTAGCAGGGAGCACTGACAGTTGTAAGCTGTTTTTTGTGTACTTACTAGTCCAGATGAGGGATCCTACAAGTGATATTGTGGAATTCTTGTGTGGAATAAATTAATTTCCAGCCCAACTTTTTTCATATTTCTGGGGGGACTAAGCTTCTTCTCTCCTAATGAAGTAGAGTTTGTGCCTTTTTGATGAGTGGCATGAAAATGGCAAATGTGCCCCAGTGAGGACAAAAAATTCAATGGCAGTTGTTCTTAAAATGTAAATAAAAAGAAACTTCCATGTGCATTCCAACTCCACCAATCTGAGGGGGTTTTTAAGAGGTATCACATGTGGCCATGAATGTCAGCCACATACTACTGAGGTCTGGACAAGATCAAACTCATACTGCAGACAGAGATAATAAAAGCTCCCAGCCTGTGCTTTATTCACACATTCATTGATAAGTGAAAAATTTATGCTGATTCACCAGTTAACTTCATAATAAAAGGCACAAGGAAGCTCTTGGTACAGAATGGGAGCATCCATTCAAGCTCTGGAGGTACGTTAGCTACTGCATTTCCAGTTAATACTCCCACTTAAATCAGAACATTTTCCTTTGTGGACAAACCCTAAATATTATGTACCTCCAGTATAAGATGATTTATTTATACAACTTGATTTATACAGAGGTGGCTGTTTCAAACTCGATAGACTTTAATAAACCACAAGACAGAACAAAAACAGTGAAGAAGGGTAATAAATCCTGTATTAAAACTCCACCATTTGGGCACAACTTCAGAATGACAAGAACACCAAAGGTTGAGAAGTAAAGCAATAGCATCCTTCCTGTTGTTCTCTCCAAAAGCCTGGTAAAACTGACAAAAGTTGATTTAGTGGTACACACTGCTGGCTTGCAAATCTTCAGAGGTGCACAGCAGCCATAAAACCTCTTTAAGTGGACAGCTAAACTAGGTTTGACACTGCCTTGAGCTGCTGAGATTATAAATGAATCAAAGCCAGAATATACAACATGCCCAGAAAACTGACAAACCTGGGCTACCTAGGGTGAAGAGAAGGAGGGGTAGTGAACATACAGTGTCAAGGTTCCATTCATAAAGTCTCCTTCAAGCAGAAACTGTAAGTCATGCTGCATGTCTCGTTTTGATTGATTTGAATATAAATGAGCATTATTACGCACCCTAACAACTGTCCAAGGAATAGGAAATACCTTTAGAAATGTCACTACAGGACCTCAACAAAAGTCAGTACCTTTGTTCACCCCTGCATGAAAAAGATACGAAACCTTCCCAGCTCAAACTTTAGCAGTTGCATTGATTCAGACGTATCAAGGGCCAAATCCTGCAGCACTGCTTTGGGGCAATGTGGTCATCACATTACTTTTAATATTTGGGACCAGAACAGTCACACGAAATAAGATTTATTTCTTTGATTTACGCGTGGATGTATCTGCTTGCTCCAGGAACAGACCCCAGGGAATGACTTCATGGGGGGACTGTAGGGGAACCATGTCTTCCTCTGCACATCAAGGATGTAAATGTGTCTGGATCTTATATCAGCTACCTGTGCACTTCCATTTACACATTCACAGGAGAGCCACGCAGCCTGGCTTAATGTCTCTGCTTGACACGTGGCACCCAAGGAGGTAATTGTTTCCCTAGACCTGCAAACACTTAGCTGATTTCTGCATGCATCTGAAAGTGCTGTTTCCCAAATGACTCATCTGAAGTCATGACAAACCTTTCACTGTTGCAGTGTCATTGCTGCCCAAATTGTCCCAGACATACTGCTGATAGCATGGTTGTGCAGTTTGCTGGTGGGTGGCAATACAGAAGCAGAAATTTTCACCGGGGAAAGAATATGTTGAAAAGCTGTGGGTATTTTGGGAATCGCCATGTGAGTCTCCATGTAACTCAGCATGAAAACTCTTCCTTTCTTAGTCAGGGTTCCCAGAATCTCCAGCAGGAACTTCTCCTTGGCAGATACAGATGGTGGTGGGGATGGGGATGGGTGA